CCCCCCCCCCTCTTCCAGCCCTCCTTCTGCCTTTTTCCAGTAGAAGCGCTATCTACAGAGTTCATTTCTAAAACAAGATAATTTGTTTGGCATCTTAATGAAATGAGTTGCTCGTCAAATAATAATATCGAAGAAACTAACATTTTCGCCCGCTTTGCAGTTCTCATCAACTTGTGCGGCCATTTTTTCGCTAACTTTACCTCTTACACCAAGTGAAACCCGTCTCCTTCAGCAGCAAATATTTCGACTTCTATTCAAGATAAATGAGTGTTTTTTGTTGCTTTGGTTGTTTTGTTGTTTTTTTAGTTTGCGTGTTTGTTTGTTTTTTCATCAAAAATAGATACCAAATTGACGAGCGCCTGACGCTATCGCACCATATGACACACTTATCTCACAACAACGCTATTGAAAGACGTAATTTACTCAAAGAGTCAAGCTCTATCTGGAGGCACGTGCGTTGCAATGTACAAACTGCTAGTAAAAAAATTGCGGGTGCAGAGCCATACACATAAAAGGAAAACTGAATGGAAAGACTGGAGAGAACGATGCTACAACAGCGTTTCAACTTGGGTAGTTGGTGCCTCTATAACAACATTATCAATTGTTCGGTTTGACTGAGTGGAGTGCAATTATTTTTCTGTGATGCTTCACGAATCTAAAAATGCTCAAGCCAAGAGAGAAGACCACAAGCTGTGCACATCCACAAAGGGAAATTTTTAGCAATGATTTAAATTGCTCAAAATGTGACAAACAGCAAAATCCCCCTCAGCTCTGTTTTTTCTTTCGCTTCAAGAAATATATTTTTATTTGCAGATGCACTGATCATCGTCAGACAATTTGATTACTGAAGAAACATCATCGCCATCATCGTATTACTATCATCATCATCACCATCATCGTATTATTATCATCATCATCATCATCATCATCATCATCATCATCATCATCATCATCATCATCATCATCATCATCATCATCATCATCATTATCGTCCTATTATTGTTATCATTATCATTACCATCATCATTTTCAGCTTGAGATGATAAAAGAACTTTGTAAATGAAAAGCTCAGCCCATGTTGCCGAAGATGCGGTCATGAAAAGGAGGAGATCAAAAACATATGTTTGAATATCGAGGAACAATGACAATTCGAATGGAGTTATTTGGACGAGCGGAGGTACCTCTTAGTATATTATTGACAATGGAGCCGAAAATGAGCCTCGCTCTCGCTCGAAGATTTCTTCGTGTAGTCCGCCAGGCCCATTAAGGAAACAAAAAAAATCAACTTCATCATCATCGCCATCATCATTGTATAAAGCAGATATTAAAACGGTTAAGACCTGGTAGCATTTCCAAAAATGTTATCACAAGTTCAACGTTTCGCCCTCAACGGATTTCATCAGGAACATTCACAATATAAATGACATAAATCTAGATCTATACATGTTGTAAAAACCAAAGTGCGTACATTTATGTCACAACACTAAAAGGAGCGGTGAGTACAAATCGGAAAGGCCTGAGAGAGGGGAACACTAAGGCCAGAAGTGGCAGAGAGAGAAGGGGGGGGCGGAACAGGTGCGTGGAGGTAAGGAATATTATAGTAACAGAAAGGTGCGGTGAACGCAAATCGGAAAAGCAAGAGAAAGAGGAACACTAAGACCAAATGTGGTAGAGAGACGGAGAGGGAGGGGGAAGGAGAGAGAGAGAGAGAGAGAGAGAGAGAGAGATGGGGGGGGGGACAAGTACGTGGTGGTAAGGAATATAACGGAAAGGCAAGGCCAAAGGGAGGGGGTTACTGGAATACACAAGGGGTGATTAGTACGTTACGTTGTAAAGTTAAGGTCCTTAAAATGGGGCTCGTCGATATTAAGGCCAGTGATAATTTTGTGAGACCCCAAGTTCCAAATCCACATTGATTCTCTTTTGGTTAATTTTTCTTTAGTTGGATATTTGACTATTTCAATACCCTGAAGCTGCGAATCGAAGGCTCCATTGTGACTAGGACTGTTGAAATGTTGGCCAACTGGTGTGCTGGAGTCAGGGGCGAAGGCTGACTTGTTTGACAGGGTAATCAAAGTGAGATGGGACCAGATATAGGGCCTGGCAATATCACACAAGAATCTTACCCCAGGCGGCAACACTGAGTTGTGAATGAAAACAAATCCTGAATTCGTGTTGTATGCATGTTCAACAGCTAAAATAATCGGGAAACTATCTCATTAAATATTTATTCCAACAAACATTAAATTTATCTTTAGATGTGAATACACAAACACAGAGCAAGGAAGCAGAGATGTCAGTTCTACATACAACACCAGTGTGTCTAAACTCTTTGGTAGAACAAGACAATTATTAATTTTGTATTTCACATTTGGCTGTCTTTGTCTTGCATTTCGCGGCCAGGAGCGGTGTCATAATCGAGGTCACGATCTGATTATAGGAGGGCAAAAAGTCGTGGGAAAAAAACAAGAACTCGCAGCAGTCAAGATGTTATTTGGAGTTAGTTCCCCTCACATATGTGAGGTAGACGCGAACAGTGAAATAGTTAGCTTACATAATCAGGGCTTGTGACTGCTTTTAACTGTGGCCCCAAAGGGGTGAACTGGGCTATAGACAGCGAAAGATCTTGCCAGTTTGTTAGTGTTTGAGCGCTTAATCGGCTGCTTGCACTGTATGCTTCCCGGGAAGCTGAGAATGTTTCAGAGTGTTCTATGGTCTGCTGGTGTAATAATATAGTGTAAAGCGCATAGAGCCTGCTGTTGATCGGGGATATGAGCTATACAAATGCTATCTATCTATTATTATTATTATATGTGGCAATGAAACGGCTTTGAGCGCTCTATACATGTTCCCTTCAACTCTTTTGGTAGACTCTTCCAGCTTCACTGTGTAAGCTTACTTAATCAAAGCTTGCAACTGCTTATGGAGTGCCCCGATAGGGGTGAACAGGCTATTTTTGTGGGCAATGAAACCGTTTTGAATGTTAGGCATACTGTTCATTGGTGATTATGAACGTCTTTTTACATAATTTAATAAATGAGGTTTACGTTTATGGGCGAATTTGACTGCGACAATGTTTCAAAATTAGGAAGGGAAGCAGTGATTATTTGATTATATTGACGCTTCCCCATTGGCTGGAGTTTTTATGGACTGAATACCTATGCTTATTAAACCTAGGTCTTAGTGTGGTGGTAGTTTGACCTACATATTGAGCTGGACAGACTTCACAAGATATGAGGTAGATTACATTTTTGGTTTCACAGGTGATGCTGTGAGAAGGTTTTCTTTTAAAGTGGGGGCCTTCTACAAAGTTGTTCACTTTCATGTAAGCACATGTTTTGCATCTAGGTTTTTTTACAAGGATAATTTTGATGCGGGGAACATGGGTTTATCGGAGGTGAGGACGTGGATGTTACTGCTCTAGTGCGAATGAGGAGGTTGCCAAGATTGGGAGGCTGTCGAAGTGCAATCAGGGGGGGGGGGGGGGGAGGAACAGGCTTTCATTTTGTCTGATTTTTCCCAGATGCTTTTGTGTTGGCTGTGGATTTTATGTACATTAGGTAGTTTTTGGTGATGAGTTGTGACAAAAAATGGTCTTTTCTGTTTGGGCTTAAGGGGTTTTTAGGTCAGAAGGGTTGTGCGGTTCAATTTGCTGACTTTCTCGATAATCGGATTTTTTTTTTTCAAACTTATCATTATGACTCACTTTCTTTCGGAAGGTGTCAGAAATTCTTGTGGCCACAGTTCAGGGTATGGTGAAATCATATGGCCTGCTGTTTGACGTCACAACTTCGATTCCCTTTCCGGGCAACGACTCACTTTTTTCCGAAGACGTCAGAAGTTCTTGTGTGACGACGTTGTATGAAATGGTGACGTCATTTGGCCTGATATTTTACGTCACAATTATGATTCCCTTTTCGGACAACGACTCACTCATCATCATCATCATTATCATCATCATCAACATCATCATCATCATCATCATCATCATCATCATCATCATTTGATAATCATCATTGTAAAGCATTGCAGCACAATTTGTTTTTGTGTTTATAACAGATCTAATATGTAACACATTGGAAAGAACTCTAAAACTATAATTCAAAAAAAATAATGGAGGCTTCGTGGGGAAATCAGGCACTCGTCAAAATAATGAAATCAAAGAAACTGGCATTTCCCTAAAGTTTGGCAATATTTGTCGATTTAATTTTTTTTTTTTTTTTTTTTTTTTTTTGGGGGGGGGGGGGTTGACTCGACATCTTTTATGCCCTTATAAAAACACAGTTCCTCGTGAATATTACTGGAAAATGTTGATTAATGGCACAAAACATGGAAATTTTCAGTTTTCAAGGACTCTAAAGCTATCAAAGTTACCAAACTTTGGCTGCCATTTTTCGCTAATTTTACATCTGATACCAGGCTACTCTCGCCCCCGTCAATTGCAAAGATCTCGACTTTTATTAAAGATAGATCGGTACTTTTTTCATAGGAAGCAAGGTAAATGAATACGCTTTAAGACGATACCAATAACTCCATATGCCCACAAATTGACAAAAGCCTGATTCCACCATGTCGTGACACGTATATATTTTCCTTCCACAGAAACTTTCCCTCTGGAAGTTGATATCGCTGTACCCATCGACATCACAGGAATCGATGACGACATGTGATCTGCTGCCTGGTGTCACAGTTGTGACTCTCCCTTCAATCAATGACTCACTTTCTTTCGGAAGGCGTCAGAAGTTCTTGTGGCCACAGTCCACGGTATGGTGAAATCATATGGCCTGCTGTTTGACGTCACAACTTCGATTCCCTTTCCGGGCAATGACTCACTTTTTTTCCGAAGGCGTCAGAAGTTCTTGTGTGACGACGTTGTATGAAATGGTGACGTCATTTGGCCTGATGTTTTACGTCACAATTATGATTCCCTTTTCGGGCAACGTCTCACTCACTCTAAGTTTTCCAGTTCTCCGGAGGTGTCTCTAATACTCGTTACGTTGGCGTGTGAATACGAGACAGATGATCCCCCCCTCCCCCCCTCCCCCCAACCACCCTTTCCCAGATCTTTTTTTCCTGAAATACCATTTTGCTCAAAACAGTGGAAACTGAGACATGGAGTAGGTATACCAGGAGACACTAGAAGAACCTTTGGTCAAATAAATGCTTGACGTTTTAAACTGACTGTATAAATGTGAAAGGGTGTATTATCAGGACATAAAAAAGAGAGCAATCTTTTCAGGTTACATAAGGACCACAGAAGAACACAATTTTAATGATTGGCTAGAGGTCTGAAATTCGTAATTTTTTACGCCATCAGATGCTTACCTAAGTCTGTATTGCTACATGTACTACTTACAGGTTTTGTTTCGGTTTGTTTTGGTGTTGTTTTTTTTCAAATATGTAACAATTCGTATAACGTTACTGCCATATATGAATATGGTGAGGAAACCTGCGATATTTAAAGTTAGGTCCCTCAATTTCAGAAATTATAAGTAGGAGTGAGGTGTTTATAGATACACCGATCTGTCATAATCATAATTATATTGTACGTTTATGCGAGTATGTGGTGAGTTCCACAGAGTATGTGCGTGTGTGTGTGTGTGTGTGTGTGTGTGAGAGAGAGAGAGAGAGAGAGAGAGAGAGAGAGAGAAATAGAGAGAGAGAGAGAGAGAGAGAAAGAGAGAGAGAGAGGGAGTGAGGGGGTGGGTTGGAGAGAAAGATAGAGAGATAGAGAAAGAAAAAGAGAGTTGTAAAATGTGTTCATGTGTATCTAGAATAACACAAAAGCATAAGTGTATGTGTATGGGTAAGCGTCTAATAGGCCATTTTTATCACTTGTTTTTGACAGCAAGAGAGAGAGATAGATAGAGAGGAGTGGGATGGGGTGGGATGCGGGAGGGAGGAGAGAGGAGGAAGGAATATGCAGACGAGGAGGGGGGGGGGGGTGAATTGACCAAAAGAAAGCCAGAGAAATGTGAGGATGAATGGGTGAATTTGTATCTTGTGGGGAGTTTTGAACCCAGACCTACGAGGCTATCAGTCGTGGCAATAATGTGTGCATTACAAGGAGGTTTACACAATTATTTGGTCTGTCAGTGGTTTTGTGTATTCATTAAGTATGTGGGTATGTGCTTGGGGCGCCTGTACATGTGCAACTGAGTAAGGCAGAGAGAGAGAGAGAGAGAGAGAGAGAGAGAGAGAGAGAGAGAGAAAGATAATAATAACAATAATAATAATAATAATAATAATAATAATAATAATAATAATAATAATTTTTTTTTAATAATACAATAATAATAATAGTAATAATAATAGTAATAACAATAATAATAATAATAATAATAATAATAATAATAATAGTAATAGTAATAATAATAATAATAATAATAATAATAATAATAATAATGATAATAATAATAATAATAAAATAATAATAATAAAAATAATAACTATAATAATAATAATTATTATTATTATTATTATTATTATTATTATTATTATTACTATAATAATAATAATAATAATAATAATAATAATAATAATAATAATAATAGTAATAATAATAATAATAACATTAATAATAATAATATTGATAATGATAATGATAATGATAATAATAATAATTATTATTATTATTATTATTATTAACATCATGAGCGCTAATTAAGGTCAATCTAAGTCTAAGAAAGACGTCAGAGATACACAAAGAGACTAGAATAGAGATGAGAGTGGGAGAGAGAGAGAGAGAGAGAGAGAGAGAGAGAGAGAGAGAGAGAGACATAGAGAGAGAGAGAGAGAGAGAGGGGGGGTGGGGAGTGGTAGAAGGGTAGAAAGGCAGAGACAGGTGGGGGTCTGTCTCAGAAATGCAGTGTCTGAGGATGTGTGTGAAAAATGTATTGTGTACATAATATTTATTCAATAATGATACATGTATATTTACAAGGTGTCTTTTAAAAAGGGAGGATCCGTGTAAAGAGCAATAATTCGGTCATATTTTCATCAATATCATCAAAACTTTGAAAAAATAAAATTCAGCAATGGTGGTATCAAATTATGTGTTTTATGGAAATGATCAACCAATGTGTTCGAGAAAGATCAAGCTGTTCAAATTAAACAAGTTTTGACCGAACTTGAATGAAACACAAAACAAAACTTCTTAGAAATGTACATCTATTAAAATTTGTGCTTTAGAGCAGATTAAAGACTCATTGTCATAAACAGAGTTCCAAAAAGAAAAAGACGACCCATTCAAAAAGCAGTTTCCCTCTGGGGTTGTCTTGTTGGTTTTTATTGGGTGGGGGTGGGGGGGTAGTTGTTTGTTTGTTTCGGGTTGGGTTTTTTTAGACCGAGCCTACTGAAATAACCTACAAACAGTAATAACTCAATGTTGAACAAGAGCTCCAAAGATTTGACCCAGAAACATTCTAAAAGGCTGTTCAAATATTTTCCAGCGGCCTCTTCATGCTTCACTGAAGAGAAATGGTCAACACCTGAGACATAATATTATGATTTAAATAGCCATCTCCTTTCCTGCGTTAGTATAGCAGTTTCAAATACAATTTGTTCTTTAATCCATAACATTGCATGCATTACCGTTGTTTTTTTAGGTTGTAAAGTTTTGTTCTACCTTTTTATCGTATATATGGATAGAATTACAAAAGAGGCCAACGCCCAACACAGAGCCAAACGCCCTAAATAAATTACTCTTCGCTGACGACCAAAGCCTGGCACACAAAGATGAACAAAGTCTCCAACACCACACCACCAGATTAAACGAAGAAAGTAAAAACTACGACATGAAGATCAACATCTACAAAACAGGGACAATGAAAGTAAACAGAAATCCAGGACCACTCAGGATACACATCAACAACAGTCTCAGATAGGTCAAAGAATTTAAGTTCCTGGGGAATATATTCACAGAGGATTGGCGACTGAAGAGGGAAATTGAAATACGAGTACAAAAGGCTAATAATGTTAGTTACCAGCTTACTCCACTACTGAAACATTCTAACATCTCCATGACTACAAAACTCAAAATGATCAACACCATATTATTCATCCCAACACTCACCTATTTAGGCCAAACATGGACCACAAACAAGAAATTGGAGCATAGGATTACAACATGTGAAATGCGATGCCTTAGAAAAGCAGTAAAACAAGACCAAGAATGACAAAATTAGAAACTCAGTAGTCAGAGAAATGGTGGGCATAAATGATGTCATGCACCACATCCAAAACCAAAGAATCAAATGGTTCGGACATCTCATGCGATTACCAACACACCAACCAGCACAACGTGCCTTCCTTCAACAAGGCTAGAGGGTGACCGAGAAAGTCCTGGATAGATGGAGTCAGGGAAATACAAACAACTCATGGCATCCCCCTGACACAAGCTCTCCGCTGGTGGCAGAGAGACGTCTTTCTTCCCGCGACACCCAAAAGGGTATAAGCGGCGGGCAAAAGTAATAGTAAAGTAAAAGTAAAGTTTTGTTTTAATCAAAATGGATAGGAATGTTTTTTACTTTGATATTTCCCGAACTCATAGGTCAATTTTCTTCGTATTATTAACAAATGACGCCCCCTTTATTTGAATTGTATTTCTTTAAAGTTTTGTTGAAATTATTGCAAAGATGAACCAGTTATGGCCCTTGATATTGGTTTTCTTTTGACACCCACGCATCATACGTTATTTTGTAACTATGTGTGTACATGTATAGGTATCTGTAGTTGCCATCTACTTCGTGGCTTCACCGTGAGCGGAAACTGTTGGCTTCACTGTAAACTAAAACTCAGTTTGATTTTTGTTTTCTTTTTCATCGGTATTAAATGATTTGTATTTTGATTTTCCTTTGTATTTGTATAATGTTTTTGTATATCTTCAATTGACACTGGTTGGCAAATCCTCATTAAATATCACAGGCGTTTTCTCTTTTTCGTCTTTTTTCTATTCGTACCTTGTGCTTAGATGTCTCACAACTGGATTTGGGAAGGACGGTAACTTTGTTGATGCCTTCTGTTTACCGGTATTATTCTGAACCAAGAAAGAAGCGAGGGAGCGCGATTCGAAATCTTGGCATGGGTGTTTTTAAGTTTAACCGCGGGTGCTGTACCGTGTGGTTTAGGGGGCTCTCGTGGCCTAGAGGTTAAGGTACTCGCCTCTCATTCAAAGGTCCCGGTTCGAATCTGGGTAGCGACCGAAAATTTTTGTTCTATAAAATTGTCTTCTTTCACCTCCTTTCCTGCTCTCTCACAATGTTCTGTTGTCTGCTTTCGTCTCCTCTTTCTGCCCCCACCTCCTTTACTCCTTCCTCTGGGCTACTGGCACTTTCTGCAGCCTTTCTACTGCTACTCCTTGGCTCCTTCTTAATGCTGTCTTTCAGAGACACCTCTGATCTTCTGGCAGAAAAAGATCTACACCAGGCCTTCTCGGAATAGGGCGAAAAATCTCGGAGGGCCCGTGTGCAAGTTGTGCACGCTAAAGATCCCTTGGTGGTCTAAAATCGATAAGAGTAGACTTCGGCCGCTCCCCGGGCAAAACCCAAAATTTCCTACCAACAGAAAAAGTTTAATGTGTCCCGCACGCTCATATGACCTTATGCAGTTGCGAGCGCCGTAAAACACTAATCAAAACAAACAAAATACGTGTGGTTTAAGGCCTCCATGTTTTATTGGCTTTCTTTTCGTTGTTGTCTGTTGTTCTGTTTTTGGAAGAGGGAGTGAGGGGGGGGGCGACGTTTGTTTGTTTCCTTTTATTTTAATAAAGGGATGTTTTAGTTTGAAGTTTACGACATTTGCAACACATATGAGTGCCGCAGTATGGAGGTGTTACAAGAGAGTAACAAACACAAAAAAGAAGGAGGAAAGATAAAGACGATAGATGTTTGATAGGAAAGAAGAAGCAAACCACACCAGAGCACCCGCCAACCACCTGCTAAATAAATGCACATCGACACAGTTACGGTCATCAAGTGCAATTTTATAGAAAGACAGACGGACAGAAAGAACAGAGAGAAAATAGAATAAATAAGACCAACCAATGA